GATCTATAAAATGGGGTCTAGAGAAGCTAGCTCACTAGGCCATTGTGAGGATTAAATGAGATAGCTACAAGGTGTCACCCCGTACCTGGTGCAGAGCAGCTCAAAGGGCTAGCCCTTGCTATTGAGAGAAGCCTGTTCTCTCTGTCCCTCACTGCCACTGAGTACATTCCGACACACGGCCACCCGACACTAACCCCTGCCTAGAGACCATGTCCTCCAGTGCTCTAGGAGCCTTTGCCAGTGCAGGCAGGTTTAGGTTCCAGTGGCTTCCCAGGGGCTGGCTCCCGTCACCCGCACCTCTAGCCCAGCCCCCATGTGCTGTGAGGGACGCCTGGGTCCTTTTCAGCTCCGTGAGTCTGGACGACTGGCTGGACTTCTCTAACACCAACGTGGAGAAGGCTGACAAGCAGCGCAACAACTCGCTGACGCTCAAGGCCCTGGTGGACCGCATCCTGTCCCAGACGGCCCTGGACCTACGCAAGCAATGCGATGTGGTGGACACAGCGTTCAAGAACGGGCTGAAGGAGACCAAGGATGCCAAGGACAAGCTGGCTGTGCACCTGGCCAAGGTGAGGACCCTGGAGGAGGTTCAGGAGTCTACCCCCTAGGGAACGAGAACGCGTGCGGGCTGGCCAGGCCGTCTATCCTCTGGGTGTTGGGTAATGTGCTAACCCAGCAGTAAGGGCCACTCCAGGCCTTGGGCTTTGGGGGAAAGTTAGGGACTGGAGTGAGACTTTGCCTCCTGAGCAGGGGGGTCGCTGGTAATCCGGGCCTGGCCCCACTTTCCCTCACAGCTGCTGAGAACAGAGATGCAGGCGATAGAGCAGAGCTGGGAGGGGAGGCTCAGAGCCCGGCCCCGCTTTGTACCTGCCTGAGTCGTACGGCCTTAGCCTTCCCCCCACCCTGGGTCTCAATATGAAATACGAGGATGCGTGAGTGAGCTCAGACGGTGTCCTGTGTGACGCGGAAGTTCCAGGAGTCGAGGCTTTCACGGGGCTCTAAGAGACCAACCATGCCACCACACAATGGCTCAGTAGCAGCAGGGTGTGCGCAGGTGATTTTAGTTGAAGGAAAATTCAGAAGGAACCATCAATAGGATGAGAGGGATCTAGAACGTGGAAGGTCTGGCCCTCCTCGTATTTTATGGCCACGAGCCAGATGGAACCCAGAAAGACAACCCAAACATAATTCAATGGAAGATTATGATCAGAGAGAGAAAGAAAGAGAGAGAGGATCTTTATCTGTTTCTACATCATTACATGCAAAAGCCTTGAGTTAGCCAGGGGAAGTCATTCCTGTCTCATAAGGGCCCACATACTTCCAAGTCCACTGAAGAGACAGAGACTCGGAAGAGGAGGGCACTGCTATGTGAACAGAAGGATTAGGTAAAGTGTAATATACGTGATCTTGAGAGTCTCTGCTTCTCTTTGGAGGCCACGGACTCTTTTATATTCCCAAGGAGATTGACTCAAGACACAGCCTACATGAACCCCATCTCATTAGCATCACAAAGAAAGCCAGCTTCCCAGGGGGAGAGTTAGGACTGACAACACATATTTTGGGGTGGGACACAATTCAATCCCTAACACATAACAACTATGG